AAACTACAACTAAAGCTTCCCATTGAAGCCACATTGACTGCATAGGTCAGTTAAATTTTCTAGTCATTCCCTTTCAAAACCTATATACAGTAATTAGGTTAAGTAAGATTTGTCAGGAAACAGGACAAGTGTTTCCTGAGGCGGGTTTTAGTTATATGATGGCCCACCGCTGGAGCTTTGGTCATCTGACCGATTCCTTCCACTGGCTTACCGGTCCACCCCTTTAAAAATTAATTATATTGGTATCACTAACGACTCATGAAATCATAACAACACGATTGAAAACAAATCACGGAACGAGTACGGGTTGACCCATGGCATGCGAGTCTTAAAAACCTAGGTTTGTGGCCACAATGGTGGCCTATGCTAACCTCCCTAGCTGGGTGAATCTTACTGGAGGTAGCTGGCCCAGTGGTCAAATCTATATATTTCACTTCAGCCGGTCATCTAATATTACACTTATTTTTCTCAAATATGAGCCGTACTGCTCGTAAGGTTTCACCCCAGGTTTATGTGCATTGCTTCAGGAATACATAAAAATAACAGCTTATCAATAAAAATTTAAGGGGCGAGTCCAGTTAGCATATTACAATTTTTCTCAGTAACCACAAACATATTAGTCACAGGCATAAGATTTGTTTCCTAAATATGCAAGAAATATTGTGTCAAATTGCTCCCGAGTTTATCATAGTCATCTCGGTCCAATGCTTCCTAATGGAAAAATCACTATAACAAATTATAAAGTAATCTGTAAATATTTTCAGCGTTCTCTCTAGTCCCCACCTGGCTTACTGCGTACATATATTCCAACTAAGTATGAGACAGTATTCGGGCCTAACAGTATTATAGCTATATTAGTTATTTAAATAACAACAGCTATTTTTTTTGTCGTTTTGAGGAAAGTTCCTCGGTGTGAACAGCATTTGTTGGCAATCGTGTTGCAGTTTTGTAAATCAGTCTTACTTTTCCAATTCCTCCTTTCGGATCAGGTTGGCTGCCATGTCCTTACCAGCACTTCTACCTCACCGTCTTCTAAATATCCTAGCATACATAGGCTTCTCCTCCCCCCCCCACCCACTCAAGAGAGGATCCTCGACGTTGGGGAGGGGCTTTTGATTCGAGGAAATCGAACATACTCCCCCCTTCTGTAGATCGAACCTGATTACCTCTCTTTCCCCGAGGTGGTAAACTGACCCCCCAAACATGTTTAGCGACTTCTGCTGACATCCCGAGTCGATCTATCAATGTTTTCTTATGAGATTTCTTATGAGAGAGTTCATATTGCAGATGTAATCTTTCATGCTGCAGCCGTGACTGTTTATAATGCAGCCGTGACTGTTTATAGTGCAGCTGTGACTGTTCATGCTGTAGCTGTGACTGTTCATACTGCAGCTGTGACGGTTCATACTGCAGCTGTGACGGTTCATACTGCAGTTGTGACGGTTCATACTGCAGCTGTGACGGTTCATACTGCAGCTGTGACGGTTCATACTGCAGCTGTGACGGTTCATACTGCAGCTGTGACGGTTCATACTGCAGCTGTGACGGTTCATACTGCAGCTATGATTGCTCATACTTCAAGGGTGACTTTTTGTAGTACAACGATGATCGTTAATATTATTTATTAATGGTTCTTGTTCTATCGGCTGCCACTCGAGATTTTTACAGTGGATCGTGACAATGAAATATTCTTGTAACGAAGGCGATAGTTAGTTTGTTAGGTGTAAAGGCTATCGACTACACGAGGATCATTAAGCTCGCTACCCACTTAGTTACGTAAATCATCAGTTACTTTAATACCTAAGATAGGGAGCAAAGTGGAATGGGAGATTATCGGTTCACGGCGTATGTACACTAAAAGATATACATCTTTCGGCGTATATTCCATAAATGTTATATATCTCTTCCTGTATATAACCAGTTGCGAGGAAGAGGGCGAAGGAGTCTCCACTAAGAGAGAAATATGGTCTACAGTCAACAGGAATCAATGTAACGAAAACACTTGCTTCCTCCACTTTCTGAATTATACTGCTTGCCTTGAAATATAAATGTTTTCAAGCAATTCTGCAATAAATCCTGGGACTATATCGCGCACTGTGCCATTTCTGCAAGTTGTTCTCAGTCTTCATTACCACTGCTTGTCAAGGAAGGCGCCTTCACGTTGGTGCGGGTCTCGATTCAAGGAATTGGACTTGTTCTCCGCATTCCTTAGATCGACCCTAATTGTCTCCCATTCCTCCAGGCAACCACGAAACAAGTAGTGCTGATGAAATTAGCATCAGTACTACTTGTGTGGGAAGCAAGTCAAAATTCACGACGCTCTAACCAACGGACCATGCAATCCTTCAAATATATACCTAGCAGAACTAGGCATGTTTCATGATGCGAGGACATACGTGGTCGTGGTATATTTGCAAAACAACCACTGGGGAGCTGAATTATAGTTCTAGGCCTTTCGTGTTGCAATCAACACCAAGAGCTTGCAATGTTGCAGAAAAGAGGAGGTTCAAGCAAATACGATCGGTGTGGAACTACATTTAAGACATTCCAACGCAATCATATAAGAGCCCAATTTTTGGTTATGTGCAATTGCCTCAACTAAAAATAATAATCAGTCTTTCTGGCTATAGGAATTGGAATGCCTAGGGGCACTCCCTGCCTACTTCATGCATCCTGCCTCACTCTAGCAAAGGCGCTCCCTGTGATCGTATTTGCTTGGACCTCATCTTGTCTGCAACACTTCCCCCCGCGGCTGTTTTGCATCTTGTATCGCTTTTTCGCGATTTTTGCAATATATATATATATATATATATATATATATATATATATATATATATATATATATATATATATATACATACAAACATCTGCCAATTTTCCTTGCAAGAATAATAAATTAGAAGTGGTTTCATGAATGATGCATCGAACACACACAAGGAACACAGCATAACAGGAAGTGGCTAATAACTCAGAAGAGTCACAAAACTCGGTTAACGATTTGACTTGTTCATAAGACACTTAGGTCAGTACAGGACAAGTTAAGTTGCGAGTGACCAGGTCTGCCAACAGAGCCTAGAGCTTAAACCGATTTATTGAAAATAAATTATTCAAACTTTAAAAGTCCCTAACTTAGGTTCAGAACCAAATCAACTTTTTTTTTTTTTTTTTTAACACAGATCAGTTTTACAGGGTAAGAGGTGTGTTATCCTGCCTCAGCTCATTACAAAGCCTAGCCCTATCTGTGGTCAACTCCCCCCCCCAGGATGCCACCCACAAGTCTACTATTACCCAGGTACCTACTTACTGCTAGGTGAACAGGGGCGAAAGTTGTAAGGAAACGTGCCCAGCGTTTCCACCCGTGCCGGAGATCGAACCACGGACTGTGTGAGTGCGCTACCAACCGACCCACGCTTGCAAAAACTTTTTTTTTTCTTTTTAATCAGTCAGTAGGATGATCATAATCTCTTATCTGAATAAAACTTTAAATAATAATTTTAAATGGCTAAAACAATAAGAAATTTATAACACGTAGATCGATAGTTATGCTGCACATTTGATTGTGACAACACTTCGCTCCTGGAGAGCGAAACGTTGCCACAATAAAATGTATCAGTAGTTGCATTTATGTCCTTTTACTTAACATATTGTCGGTAATTCTACCATTATTACTAATATCATTTCTGTATTTATAAGCTGTTTGCTGTCACTTTGTTAATACCAAGTGCAAAATATGCCAGTACAAGTGTGTGTACTCAATTGTACTCACCTAATTGTGGTTGCAGGGGTCGATTCATAGCCCCTGGCCCCACCTCTTCGCTGGTCACTACTAGATTTCCTCTCTCTCCCTGCTCCATGAGCTTTATCAAACTTCGTCTTAAAACTATGTATGGTTCCTGCCTCCACTTTCCAGACTGTTCCACTTCCTGGCAACTCTATGACTGAAGAAATGCTTCCTAATATCCCTTTGACTCATCTGAGTCTTCAGCTTCCAATTGTGACCCCTTGTTTGTTTGTGTGTGTGCTTACCTAGTTGTATTCGCATAATTGTACACACATACACTAGTACTCGCTTATTATTCAAAATTTTCGCACATTACTGCGGGTCTCGGGTGCCCTATTGCACATACTCTTAACACTGCGTATGAGATACTCTTTGCAACACTTCCTCATGCAGGTCTCCTATCCACTCAACACTCGTGTCACCCTGCAGGACTGACAGGACCCTGGGTGACACAAACCCTCAGGAGTCTGCTGACACACTCCCACACTTACCTGGCTGTTATACCCGTCTCTCACTTGCTGGAGGGAGTGGACCTGGAGGAGGATGACGACCTGGCAGGCGGGGAAACCGACCTGGAGGAAGCAATAGGAGACCAGAAGAGGCAGAAAGGGCATTATATATACAACCGTACATACTCCTTTCCCCTGATAGTGTTCCGCGTGGACACTGAGGAAGACGCCCGGACCTTCCACATGGTATATCTGTCCTTTACATCCCTTGTGTCACAACACACGGGGAGTTACCTTCTCCCTCGGATCAAGTCCGATTAGGAGCTTTGTCAAGCCGTAACGGCTTGACAAAGCTCTTGGAGAGCGAAACGTTGCTACATTAAAATGTCACATTAGTTGCACCTGTGTCCTCTTACCTAACATATTGTCGATAATTCTACCAACATAATGGCTAATAATAATATCCAATTTTTGTAATTTAATTAAATCCAATTCAATGTCCCTGATTTGAGTTCCCGTGTTTTTCTTTTTTTTTTGGTAACATAACTGCTTCTCACTGTACACTGAGAGGTAAATTGTCCAGTCTTGTGCACTGCAGAACAGTGAATATCATAGCATTTAATATCTACGTCTGCCTTTGCTTCTGCTTGTGTGTTTATCCGCCAGCAATACCCCATTCTATAGCTGGACGCCATTGATGGCGGTGTTTGTTAAACTGGCAGTGTGTTGCACTGTGTTGTAGGTGTGTCAATGTAGTGTACTGTATTGCAGGTGTTCCCAGGTGTGTCAGTGTGGTGCAGCTGGCTGCTTCTGCTCCCAGACACTCCCTTAACTCAGTGGTTTAAGAAACTCTACCTGCCCCTTAACAGTAGGGTAAGTTATCAGTGAAGGACTGCCCTTTAACAACAGTGTACGTGAAGAAACAGTGAAACAGTTATATATTCAGTGAAGATATAATTATTATGCATGTTACGCAAAAATGTGGGATACCTGGGGTCTAGAGCGATTTATTTATAAATTACATTGTAACCACTTTACAGTACTCCCAAATGCACATTATGAATTATAAAATTAAGCTTTACAATTTTAACATTCATACTATTATGACACCCTTCTCTACTGTATATACATTACAATATCATGCAGAACCCTGCATAACAATGCACAATGTGCTAAATCTTTAATTTCACCTGATATCACTGTCGTCACAGTATCTGTAAAGATAAATGTTTCAATTCACACTCAGGAAAGTCGAACTGGAGTCTGCTGGATTAAATGATTTTCATGCAGATAAAACTGATGTCATGCTGCATTGATGAGCCTCTGAAGTCATGCAGCATCAACACAACTCTGTAATCATACTTTATCAATACAACTTGGTAATCATGCTCCACTTTTACATCGATACATCCTCTTCTCTCACCCCAGCTGCTCATTAGTGCCACCTTCTTCACTCAACATTAACAGTAATAAATTTAAAGAAACATATGCACATATTTATACAGAACCAGGAGCTGTGACTCGACCCCTACAACCACAAACAGGCGAGTACACACACACACACATTTGGCACACGGTAACACTACTCACATCAACACAACTCCCCTGCAATAACCTATCTTGTAACACAAAGTCATATTTGTTTCTCCGACTACACAAGTATTCTCAAGTCCACCAGCAGGTGACTGTGGCCACGTACGTGAAAGGGAAGGAGGAGGTAATATCTCTGTGGCAGGTGTATCAGGTCTCCCCCAGCACGAAGAAGATGGTCTTAGCATCTGGCAAGTGGTCTCTGAGAACCCCTGCGTCAGGAGAAGATGGCTGGACCAAGGGTTACCTCAAGCCAGGAGAGAGAACTGAAGCGAGGGAGATGAATTACGGGGTGATGGAGGGAGTGAAGGAAGACCCATTATTGAGACGGACAGATCTTACTGGTCTCCACCTGTCCTGCACCACCATTCATGTGAGAAAACTCTCTCTCTCTCTCTCTCTCTCTCTCTCTCTCTCTCTCTCAGCATACACGAGTAGACACTGAATTATATATAACTCACCGTTAATAACTTACTAAAAGTTTCATCTACGCAGCTTAAATGAAGTTTATCATGCTATTTACATTATTATTATTATTATAATCAAGGGGGAAGCACTAAACCCGTAGGAGTATACAGCGCCTATGGGGGGATGGAAGGCATTCAGGCTTAATTCAGGGAACTGGAGCACAGATCCAATTCCCTAGATCAAGAGCCCCTCACCAGCGTCAAGGAGCCTTCCTTGAGGGGATGCTATTTACAAAATGCCAAAATTCAGGGGGTCATGCGTAAGTTATTTCACACAAAAACAAAATATTGCTGTACCATTTTAAAAATAAAACTGACGAACTGGCACCTACACACTCCAATAATAATCCCACCCTTTTTCTTATCTGGATTCGTTAGTGGCGAAAGTTTGAAGCCGATCAGACGAAACTTTCTCAAGGCATATAGAAACTAACGCTGAGAGTTATTTATATAAAATTGAGCAGAGAACATTTTTCCATATAAGACAGTTGCATGAGCCTTTTCCTTGTTTACAATAAACTTATGTTGAAATATTAAAACCAGTCTTAGAGGAAAAAAAAAAATTGGGGAAAAATTTGAGTAAACAGGTAAAAGTGCCCCTTCGAGGATGTCTAATTAATAATTTAAAATATTCTCTTTTTGATTTCTCTTTTACTTCCTTCTTAATCTCTTCTGTTTCTTGCCATTTCTCCTGTACTTGCTTCGACACCTCTTGTTCTTGTTCTACCTCTCCTCTACTTCCACCTATCGTTCACTTCACTACCTCTCCTCTACTTCCACCTATCGTTCACTTCACTACCTCTCCTCTACTTCCACCTATCGTTCACTTCACTACCTCTCCTCTACTTCCACCCATCGTTCACTTCAAATACCTCTCCTCTACTTCCACTATCGTTCACTTTTACTACCTCTCCTCTACTTCCACCTATCGTTCACTTCACTACCTCTCCTCTACTTCCACCTATCGTTCACTTCACTACCTCTCCTCTACTTCCACCTATCGTTCACTTCACTCTACTTCTCCTCTACTTCCTTGTACCTCTACTTGTAGACAGTTTACATGAAGACATTGATCATTATAACTTCATTTGCTACTAATAGCAACTCAGCATAAATCTTCCTGGGTACAACAAAGAGCGCAACCCTTCGTTAATAATAGCGGTGTTTCCTAGATGTTTTAAATCGTGTTTACCTTCCTTGTATATCTTACTCGGGTGTGACGGCGCTGGGGTTCAAACAAGCCTTGGCTGGAGATTTGTTTTTTTTCTGATATATTTTTAGGGTAGTATTTCAATGATTAGTTGATCTACTTTTAACCTCTTAGAAGTTCGTTTTATTTTATTTTTGTTTATCTTCCGTGATCCTCTTTCAAGTTGACATTTGGAACCACAGAACAGCAACACGAGGTTATGTTCCCCTCGTTTTCAGACTCCCTTAACATGTTTTCCGTTGTAATGTGCATGTCTTTTCTTCCATGACTACCCATAACCACCACCACCCTCAACAACGACCACCACCACCCTCAACAACGACCACCACCACCCTCATCAACCACAACCACTACACCACAGGCGTTCCCTCACACTGTACTGAAGGCTGGCAGCGACGGCATCGTTACTGTGGATGGCATCTTTGGCAGCGTCCTCAAGTTACTTCAGGAGATTACCAACTTCACGTACGGTTTAATAGTACTCTATTACCGTAAATATTAACTCCCACTGTACTTTAACTAAGCGATATGGCTCTCATGATGTATATACGCTGAGAGATATTTACCTATTAGTGTATATACTTCACTGTGTATAAACAGAGGCACCTCGTAGTATCTGTTTACAAAATGTTAGATAACAGGGGCAGTAGGTGTTAGGAAACTTTATATCCCGCTTTATCCAGGCTTCGACCCAGAGTCCTCTAGATCCTCTAGAAACATAGTTTGGGTGGTGTAGATTGGACAGCTGTTTGGAGTTGTACTTAAAATACAACTGAATAGTTACAAACGAGTGATCAACGATGCACAACAGTCATAAGAGATGGGGGAGTGAAATTGTTCAAGGCCTTTCGTTCTGCAATGGCAAGCGCATCGTCAGAAGCATTGCTTTGCTCAAGGCAACACATCTGCCATTGCAGTATGAAACGCCTTGAGCAACTTCACTCCTTGTGACTGTTGCGCACAACTGAACGGACAGTAATAAAAAAATATGTGTTTTGACTGCTGGCTTATTTGTTGGTGTTGTTGACTGCAGGTACTCGTGTCGTCAATCAAGAGACGGACAGTGGGGCGGTTTGGTGGGTGGGAAGT